AAGTGGCGGGACCGTTGTTTGTCAAAGTCTGTTGCTTGGCGGTGGCTTCCAAGCGTGCGTCATGTTGCTTGCAATAGCATCGAACCTTGGGCCGTGATGATTCACATTCGCTCTCTCTTACCGTTGCGTTTCGCGGAACGTTCCTCCCGTTGCGTGCACGTGTTCTTACCTGTCGTACCGTTGCTCCGCGACTTCACGGCATGCGCGCTGTACTTGAATCAGGCGTTGCCTGGGCCCAGAATTCCCGAATTCCACGCCGTCCTCGCCCTTCTCCCCAGTCCCCCCTCTCTCCATCCCCTCCCCCGCCTCACGCTCTCCCACCCACCCCTCCCAAGGAGAGGGCGAGGAGAGGAAGGTCAGATCGAGAAGCGCAGTGACAACAGGCGAAGTGCTCGAGACATCCTCCCAATGGCGGCTCCCCTTGGGGGCGCCCAAATGCCATGCCTGCTTCACCGCGGTGATCATGAAGCTCTCAAACGAGAAGGGCCCGAGGTGTCGCATCAGGCGAACCGCTTCACACACGACCGAAAATATGGGCACGAGTGGGCCGTGACGCACAAGTCGAAGCCCCCTCCGTGGGGTGCCCAAATGCTATGCCTGCCATATCGCGGCGATCGTCCCAAAGAAGAGGAGTCCAAGGCGCCGAAACGGAACGGACTCTCACAACCTGGGCGCGAACAAGCCAGCGCCCCACTTCCTGGCGGCCCCCGCCCCTTGGAGTGCTACGTCGCAAGGGCCATGGGGCTCTCACATGCGATCCGTCTGGGGCGCAGGGAACACCACTTGGGACACCCTGCAATCCCCACAAGCTGGGCGCAAAACGGGCAAGTGCCCCCCTCCCCGGCGGCTCCCCCCCCTTGTGGCCCCCCAATACCACGCCTGCTGGGTCGCGGTGATCTAGGGGGCCTTCAGAGAAACGAGGTTTGGGAGGCATGCACCAAGAAAGCATCCCCCCAATATTGGCACGAACGGGTGTGTGCCCCCGTTCCTGGCGGATCTCCCTTGGGGCACCCGAGTGCCACTCCTGCTATGCTGCGGCGATCATGCTGCGAGCGTGAATGATCATACTGAGAGTAACACGGGCGCGCGAGTCTGAGCATGCCTTGGCTGGGCGCGAGTGGATATGAGCGGAAGTGGTCTGTGCATGAGCGAGTCTGAGTATGAGAATCTGAGTACCAGTGGATATGAGTGAGAGCGAATTGGGTGTCAGAGACTCTGAGTGTGAGGTGAGTGCTCTGACTGTGAGTGAGTCTGAGACTGTGTGAGTCTGATTGTGCGTGATTCTGCTTGTACGCGAGTCAGGATATGGGTGGTCCGAGTGCGATGAGAGGGATCAGGAGGCGGGCGTGAGTGAGGAGGAGGCGGTACACTAATCCACCACCGTGCCTTCAGCACACAGTGGAGTGCCCCAAGGCTTCTAAAGCTCTGCAGCCCTGAGAGGTAGGATGGTTGTGGGGTTTAAAAGGCCCGGACCCAATGTTTCCCAGCCGCTCCCAACATTGCCCGCGAGCTCTTGAAGCTCCTGGGGGGTGCCTCGGCCAGCCTATAAGACGACCTCCCGAACCCTCGAGAGCGTCTTCAGAACCGCCTCAGATGGCCAAAGAGGTCCCTGGAGCAGTCCAAGACAACTTCAAGACGGCCCACTGTGGCCCCAACGCGGCCCAAGGGGACCCACAAGACTCCTCAAGCCGGCCCCGAGAGCAGCCCAAAAAACAAACATCGCCCAATTCCCAAGGAGGAGAACTTCTAGTTTCAGCACGTTCGCCTCTTAGGCTTTCACATCGTCCAAGACGGCCCAGGAAGCCCCCAAGATCACCCCAAGACGGTCCAAGGGCCCCCAAGACGGCTCAATGGGGCCCCAAGACGGCGCAAGGAAGCGCCAAAGGTGGCCGAAAAGGGCCCCAAGAGGGCCCAACGATGGGCCCTATATTGGGAACTCGAGCTGAGATTTTGAGCCTTCCGACCCAAGGGGGGCCCTGGAGATCGCCAGCAAGCCCCCAAAAAGTCACCCGAGAGGCCCAGAAGAAGTTCCAAGAGTCTCCCAGACGGCCCCCACGAGGCCCCAAGAGTTTTCAAACCTGCCTATGAGAGACCCCCCAGAAGCTTCCGAAGTACCCCAACAAGCATCCAAGAGGCCACTGACCCACAACTCCTGCACGGTGGCGGGATGGACCGAAGGCCACTAGATCCGCCGCCCCCTGTTGATTCATCACAGGGGTGCCTGGCGTGCTGAACCCGTTCGGTTTTGGTTTTGGTTCTTTTCCAAAAGAGCTCACCAACAAATCCTCCAAGACGGCTCAGGATAGCCTCCAAGATAGCAGCGTTGGCCCAAGATGGTCCAAGACGGCCTATAAGACGGCCCAAGAGAGCCCAAGATACCTTCAAAGTCGCCCGAGAAGCCACCAGAACGGCCCAACACGACCCCAGAGATCTCCAAAAGGTCCTCCAGGAGGCCCCGAAGAGGCCAAACTTATTGATTCGCGCTGGGTTTTTGAAGGATCTTGGCATGTGCTTCTTCTCGGCATTCCGACGGCTGAACACGGCCCGAAAGGCCCCCAAGATCGCCCCAAGATCGCCCACGAGACCTCCAAGATGGCCCCATGACGGCCCCAGAGGCCCCCAAGACGGCCCCATGACGGGCCAAGGGGCCTCCAAGACGCCCAAGATGGCCTCCAAGACGGCCCCGAAGCGCCCCAAGAGGGCCCCAAGCCGGTTCAGAGAGGCCCCCAAGACGGCTCCCGACGGCGTCAGACGGGCAAGGAACGCCCTAAGGCGGCCAAAGAGGCCCCCGAGAAGTCCCCAGAAGGCCCCAAGAGGCCCTCAAGAGGCTCCAAGAGAGCCCAAGATAGCAACTATATGGCCCCCAAGACGGTCCCAAGATGGCCCAATCGAGCCCAAGAGTGCCTCAAGGGGCTCCGAAGAGGCATCCTCCCCCTCCTCCTTTTTCCTCCCGAAGGCTTTCCAAACCGACTCGGGGAACGCATGGTCGAATAGCGTCGCCCCCCAAGATGCCTCCAAGACGGCCCAAGATGCCTCCAAGACGGCCTAACATGGCGTCAATATTGCCCAAGACAGCCCAAGAGGCCGCCAAGATGCCTCCAAAACGACCCAAGAGGCCTCCAAGAGGTCCTCCAGGAGGGCCCGAAGAGACCAACATCATTCATTTTCCCTATGTGTTTGAAGGGGGAACCCCAAGATCGGCGAGAGAAACCAGATCGGCGTGCTCATTGAACTCATTCTTACTCACATCTTCCCCGAAGCCTGTCCAGACAAACTCGGTAAACGCTTTGTCCAGTATCCAAACACCGGTTCCTCGAAAGATTTCAGCAACGGCTCGGGCAACGCCTGGTCCGAGAGCTCGCGTCCCAAAATATACCGCAAGGTCTGACCGCAGAGGCCCTCATGACGCAGCGACGGGCAAATGGAGTTTTCAGGCAAGACACAACATCCATCTGAACATCAGTAGCCGTACAACACTATTCTGCTAAGTTGAGACCTTCAAAACACCTTGCATTTTTTTGCGGCCGCTCGTTGTGTAAAGCGACCCCAAATACTGTTCAAGGAGGCTCTCTTCGGTACGGTGAGCGAGACCAGATCGAAATCCTCACTGCGGTCATTATCACTCTCGTGTTCCCCGAAAGCTTTCAAACGCAACTCGGGGAACAAACACCCCAATAGACAGGACCAACTGCAATCGCAACGTTCCGACACATAAGTGCTTCCAGAAAAACAGGAGGCCTCCAAGATGGCCCCACGATGGCCCAAGAGGCTCACGGAACGGCCCCAAGAGGCCCTCAATGGCGACGGAGAGACCATACAGGACCTCAAAGTCTACGAAAGATCCCTCCAAGACGGACAAGATGGCCTCCAAGACGGTCCCAAGGCGTTTCCAAGACGGCAGATTGCCTCCAAGAGGCGTCCAAGATGATCTGGATGACCCCAAGAAGCCCCGATGTAGTCTCAAAGTGGCTTCCAAGACAGCCCCAAGATGCCTCCAAGACCGCAAACATGGCCAAATCAAACCCTGGAGTACCCCAAGAGGCTCCCAAGAGGCCTCCTCCACCCTTCTCCGTCTTCCTCCTCCCCTCCCTTCCTCCCTCTCCTCCCTCCCTCCTCCTTCCTCCCTCTCCTCCCTCTCCCTCCTTCCTCCCTCTCCTCCCTCCCTCCCTCCTCCTTCCTCCCCCCCTCCCTCCTTCCCTCCCTTCCTCCTCCCCTCCCTTCCTCCTTCCTCCTCTCCCTCCCCTCCCCTTCCTCCCTCTCCTCCCTTCCTCCTCCCCCACTCTGTTCCCCGACCGCTTTCCAAACCGAGTCGGGAAACACACATGGTCCCATTGCTTGGCAGGCCTCTGGCCACAACGCTCGGCCACCTAGGCGCTTCCGATGGGGCAGGGGGCGGCGAAGGATTCGCCGCAGGCGTGTTCGATAACACGAGCGCCTGTCCTAGGTGAAGGGGCCCTGGGACACACAAATAAAAACACACAAATAAAAATATTCCCCATAGTTTCCCATATGTTCTGGGTTTTTGTATTCCCCCCACTTTCCATATTTTCCCATATTTTCCTGGGGATCGACGATTCATTGTGTCTCTGTGTGCTTCTTTCCCTCCTGTCCTAGGATCTGGGGAACAAGAACCCCCGTCTCAGGATGTGGGGAACCACTCGCCGTGGAGGAGGGAGGCGTCAAGTACGGCAGGTTCGTGTCGTGCCGACCCCAGCGCTGGTTTTTGACACCGCAGGGATCGTTCAACCTTGAACGATCGGCCGTCTCCGCAACGTCCAATCGTTCAACATCGACCGATTCTGGGCCGCCGGCGGCGTTCAACCTTGAACGCCCGCGCTGGGGTCGCCGCTGGTCGACACGGCGCAAACCTACCGTAAGGAAGGAGGAGGAGGCCCACACGCCTCGCGAGAGAGCCGCACGCCCCGGGGAGAGGGACAACACAGAACTCCCCGGCGCGCGGTCCCCCGCCAAAAACCCTCCCCCCTCTGGCGGGGCGGCGCCTGGCCGCGCTCCGGGCCGCGCTGCTGCGCACCACCTCCAGCCGCACGACCTCGACCTGTCGGCAGGGAGGCGCCGTCGTCGTCCTCGCCCTCCCTCCTCCTCCTCCTCCTCCTCCTCGTCCTCCTCCTCGTCCTCCTCCTCCTCCTCCTCCTTCTCCTCCTCCTCTTCCTGATCCCCTCCTCCTCCTCCTCCTCCTCCTCCTCCTCCTCCTCCTCTTCCTCCTCCTCCTCTTCCCCCTCCGCCTCTCAAGCACAGGGGGGCCCGAGGCGCGTGCCGTACCCATTTGGGCTCACACTTGCCATGGGACTCCTGGCTCCGTGCCTCCACGTCGGCGCCTGAGGGGCACTGGGTAGCATCCTTCGTCCTTTGTATTGATATTGTGGGGCTGTCTGTGGAGGAGGCGATCCGTCTTGGGGGTTGCCCGATGACCAGTGGTGTTTGCACATCATTGAACAAGGGCCGCATCGAGCCGATTTCACCTCAGCCGAACTTCTGTCAATCCCTCTGGTTTTGGACAGCTATCCCAGTGGCTAAACGGAGCGAATTTCGATCGGTGTATGGTGTGTTTCTTTCTGGGAGCAGCCGCACAGCCTTATCTTATGTTTTGCTGCGCATGTTCTTCTGGGTTTCATTCCTGCACGTGTTCTTCGGCATCCATCCCAGGCGGCAGGGACAGTGGGAGCCTTTGCGCACTGACCCAACGCCTCCCGCCTGGGTGTACCAGTTCGCGCCCTCGCTCTGCAAGCTATTTTTGACTGCTGGGGCGGGGCGGAGTACCTACAGCCGGTTCGTCACGTGGGAGTTGCTGCGCAGTGGTGTCTTTCAGCATGCTGGGCATATTCTTCTGGCTCTTACGCTCCTGCTCGGTCTCTTCGACATCCATCCCAGGCGGCAGGGACAGTGGGAGCCCACGTGCACTGACCCAACGCCTCCCGCCTGGGTGTACTTCAATGGATGGTTGTGCTTGGGCAAATGTTTTTTTCCCTAGCAAGGGGTATTCTGCGCATCTCGTTATTCAAGTGTTGTGGTTTGCATGTCGGCGCAGCTGTGTGGCTCTTTGTCACCTCGACTCGCGATGTGGGTCATGCGCTTTGGGTGGCGAGGCGGGCGGAGTTTTTCAGTATCAGCATGGGCTGAGGGAGTGAACAACGTTGCTGTATCTGGTTTATTCTGGGATGTGGCTTGTTGGAGGTACTCATTTACGGCATCCACGTGTTCCGTAAGCTTCAGCCGTCAGGTCTTATGGTCATGCCCTTCGATCTGTTTCTCTCAGCGCTGGCATATCCAGAGTTCGTCGTCGAGTCCTTCCTTTTCGCCGCGGGCTCGGAGAAGGTCAGCGTCAAGTGTGATTCGCTTCGCGATAGATCCAATCCAATCCAATCCTCCACCTCCGCCTCCTCGTCGTCTCGTCCGCACGGCGGTATGACAGCACCCCCGGCACATCCACAGGTGGCCGCACGCTCGCGAAGCACGAGAGCCGCTACCTCTGCAGCCCATTCTCGCCACCACATCTCCTCCCCCCCCACTGCCGGCGTTCCTCGCACGCGCTGGTCCTCGATGTAGTGCAACTCTGACCCTCCTCCTCCTCCTCTTCCTCCTCCTCGTTCTTCCTCATGCTTACTCCCCTCTCATCCTCCTCCTCCTCCTCATTCTCTTTCCACCTCCTTGTACCTCCTCCTCCTCCTCCTTTCTTCCTCCTCCTCCTCCTTATCCTCCTCCTCCTCCTCCTCCTCCTCCTCTTCCGCCTCCTCCTCCTCCCCTTTCTCCTCAGATAGCCCCTTCCTTCTCCTTGCTCATGCTTTCCTTCCGCTCCTCCGCGTCCGCGCTACTCTTTTCCTCCTCCTCCTCCCTCCTCACTGTCGTCATCTCCTGAGGCCGTGGCTCCAGGGGGGAAAGGAAAATATGAGCGAGGAGGAGGAGGGAGCAAAAGGAGGGAGGAGGAGGGAGGAATAATGAGGAGGAGGGAGCAGGAGGAGGGAGGAGGGAGGAGGGAGGGAGGGAGGGAGGGACGAAGAAGGGAGGAGGGAGGTAGACGTTGAGCATCAGGATGGGGGTGAGCATGAGAAGGAGAAGGGAAAGGAGAAGCAGCAGGACAAGGGGAGAAGCGGCAGGTGGGGGATGAGGAAGGGGGTGGGGCCAGAGTCAGCCCAAGACATCAACGATGCTGCAACAGACTCTCCCGTCCCAGGTTCTCCCTCCTCAGAAGTCCTTGCCAGTGTTACTGCTTCACTACGCGCGGGAGCCCCCTGAGAAGACGAGTGACCCGTTGGCCTGCTGTTCAGACCTGGGGGAGAGAGGGGGGCGCTGCTTTCAACGAACCGCCCGCCAGACGTTTAGGCACTCTTACTGCAATGGACTGCGGCGCAGAGCAATCGAAAAAACGCGAGGCCCAGCTCGCCAAATAAATCTCGCACGCTCTATGAGGAATCAGAAGCAAAGCATACACCATCAAACACAGATCAAAACATACATAAACATAAACCATGATAAGAACGAAGAAACAAGAAAAACATCAAACACAATAACATAAGAAGCAATAATCAACCATTTGTTTGATACCTGAAAACATGGAAAGCATGATACTAGCATGATCGCATAACATAATACCATGTTGGTACATCAAAACAGAATAAAACAAACACAACTCGACCAAACGCACCTCAAAAGGCTCTTGCCTGCGGATTTCCGCCCCGTGCCCCGCCGGTGGCGGCCCCTGGCCGCCTCGTGGGCGCCCCGCGCGCACGGGCGGGTGCGGCGGGGTGCCGCCCGGGTGCCCAGCAAGTAAGTGGCCGCCCGGCCGGCGCCGAGGGGCCACCCCGCGTGCTGGGCGCGCCACGGAGCTCGCGCCGCGGAGCTCACGGTGGGGGCCTGGCCACGAGAGGCCTCCGCAAGAGACCCCAAAACCCTGAGATCCGCGAGGATCCACATCTGTCGATCGGAAGTCATCCAGATCTTTTTGGGGACGCGCTCGAAGTCCAAGCAACCCAGGGCACCCTGGCAAAATCCAACTGGTTTCTTGGCACGCGCACTCACTGTACACCACACAGCCTGCACAACACAGCTCGCACCACGTAGATTGCGCCACATGTGCTGCGCCACACAATTTGCATCACCCGGGTTCCACAACCAGGGTGCACTGATGCACTCACTGTCAGGGGTCCCCAGTGGCGCACATCTTGACAGTAAGCCACCCGTCAGCAGTGCAGCTGCTGAACAGCAATCATCTTTAGCACAATGTGATATCGCCTCAAGCGATGGCCCAACTGTGAATCAACGTGTAACACTCAACCTGTGCAGATTTGAAAACGAATGCGAGTCGAAGGCGAGAGCTCAACGAATCGAAGGCGAGAGCTCGAAGGCGAGAGCTCGATCGAGTATATTTGCATCTGTGCGAGTCGAAGGCGATAGCTCGAGTTTGTGAATGAGCCACGCTCTAGCCCGGCACATGCTGCAAACTTTCCAGACGGTGGGTGTGCGCGGAGCTAGGGCGACAACAACACTTATTGAACACGACCCGCCCGACATCCGTGCACGTGGGCCCAACATAACGAAGTATTTCAATGTTGATGCTACTCGCCAGCGCTGAATACCAGCAGGTGCAGCTCGAGCGTGCCCTGCACCAGCTCTGGGGGCCGCTCGGCATCAAGCCGGAGCAAAACGCCGTCGTCGGCTCGGACGCCGACCGGTGGCACACGGTCCAGTTCAAAGGCTCCGTTGACCTGGCCAGCTCAAGGGTCAAGCGCGCCATGGATGTCTTGCGACTCCCTGGGGGCAAATGGCAGAACCTCCACGTGCAGGACACCACGGGCCAACAGCAGCGCCTGTACCTGAGACGGGACGAGCCGCTGAAGATCGTTCAGCTCAAGATTCGCACCAGAAGCTCCACACCCCTCTACCGAACAAGTACTCCGACAAAGAGTTCACCTGCAGCCGACACAAGGGCCTCACCTTCTACAGGAGGGAGCCCCTCTGCCGCATCGAGCTGGAGCCCGATGGCGCTGCTGCGAAAGATGATGGAGGTCGTACGGCCATCAACTCCCTAGTCCTCTGGCACGAGCGTGTCCAGGAGACGGCTAGCGTCAACAAGGCAGAGGCCAACGACGAGTTATCGAAAGTCTTCGACGTCACAGCTGGCGCCGTGTTTTCTATTTGATGGACTCTTCGGGCAGTGGCGTCCTCCAGGCGTGCCGCCGCTGGACTCGATAACGTTCGCCTCGTGGAATGCCCGTGCCCTCCTGCATCACAGGAGGCGCCGGCGTCAGGCCAAACTTTGACACGCATTGCAATTTTTGAACCGGTCGACGGTCCTGGCCCTGGAGGAGGTGCATCAGACAGACGGTGTACGCGGCCATGAGCTTGGGCAGATCGGCTGTCATGCCCGACGACTCTCCTCCTTCTTCGATGACAGTGGCACAGGTGGCGTAGCGACCCTCTTTCCCCTCTTTGGAGATCACGAGCACAAAAATTTTCAGTACGATGGCATTGTAGCGGGGCGCATCTTGAGAGTCACAGCCGAAAACCTGACCTCCGGAGCCGTGCTGACGCACTACAACATCCACAACTACGGGCTCGCAGCCGAGGACATGTGGACCCTCCACACCTACAGTCTGCCTGATCTTGAGGCGGCGAGGAACCAGCCGAGGCTACGCACAGTGATCGTGGAAGGCGACTTCAACTTGCATCCCGAGCCAGCGATCTGCACGACGAACCCCGAGGAGCACCGCAACGGGAGCAGAGAGTAGGCCGCCTCGCGGCCGTTGGAGCAGTCTTTCTTGGAAACGCATCTTCGATATGATGACCGAGATCCACGACCTGCAACCGACGCACTGGACACAAGAGTGAAGGGGCCCTGGGACACACAAATAAATACACACAAATAACAGGATTCACCATATTTTCATATATTTTCTAGGTTTTTGTCTTCCCCCCCACTTCCCATATTTTCCATTATTTTCTGGGGAATCGACGATTCATTGTGTCTGTGTGTTTTCCCCCTCCTGACACAAGAGCCTCCAGCCGCAGCGGCTGGATCGCAGCTTCATCAGCCCGCCTGCC